TAAGTGCTATGCATTTATTAATGTGGAATTGGGATGAAGTGGGAGTCACCCATGGGGTTTGTGAGGACGGTGAGTCGATAAAGCATGGATCACTGAATTATGATGAATATGAAATTGAAGGCAGTACGACCGGGAAACATGGAGAGTGTGGCGGCCCCCGTGTGCACAATTGAATACCCAAGGATTATATAGAAACCACAACGTGGTTCTTCTTATTGGGCCGGCACCCTGATAACTAAGATTTTATGGTGGCCCGACAGGGTGCCTCGCTGCTGTGTGCGCCTGATGATCTAGGATTTTGAGACGGAGACGCCGCGATGCCTATCCATGTTGGTAATTGCGAAGAAAGAAACATGGTAAAAGTAATGAGAGGAACTGGTACGTAGTGAGGATTAGACCCGTCGGCCAGGTATAGGGGATTGGCCTCGCTCGGAGTGCAGCACGTTCTGAGAAGCAATAGGGCCCGGTGAGAGTACGGCTCGTGGAGGTTTTGGTGATCGCCACTGATTAATATTCACGTGAATGTGATGTATGACGATGGTTTAATGAATTCCTTGAGCTATGTATAAACCAACAGTTAGTAGACTCCGGCAGTTGTAGAATTTAACTTACATTATAGTTTGTGTATTTTCATAGACTGAAAGTAATTCTGGTGAGCCCATATTAGAAATGTGATATATTGTAAAATTGGGCCACTGTTGGAATGTTGTGAAGCAAGAATAAATATTTGGGTCCGAGATGTAATAAATCTTGAGGTTTTATTTTTTTTTTAGTAAATATGGGCTTGAATGTTTGAAATTTATAATTGAGAGATAGTAAATTTTAGTGTTTTCAGGCTTACTACGGCCTCGACTTTAGCTTGTCTGGGCCTAGTCGCCGGTCCGGCCCATTGAGAACGGGTCGTGACGGATAATAAATTTTAAAATTTTTTAAGCTAATTAATAGTTGAAAAAAAATTAAGATATATTTTTTTATTTTATATATTAAATTATTTATTAAATAAGATTTTTATTTATTATTATATCTTCGTATGTTCCCGTATCTCGTGTCATGTCTTGTGGAAAACTATTGCTTTTGGTATAAATATAAACTAACTTCATATTCAAGGGTAATTAAAAATTAAAATAAGAAATTAAATATTTTTTATTTTATATATGTTGGGTTATATGATATTTTAATTAATTTTAATTTAAACTAATTATATAAATAAAAAATGTAAGTATTTTTTATTTCATGTTTTTTGTTTATTAATAAATAATTAATTTCGTTTTATCATAATTATCACGTATGTTCCTTTTCGTAGTCTGTGTCACGTGCAACTTCCTCTTAAGTATATAAAATTAAGTATTTTTTATATTATGGTTTGAGTATTTGTTATTAAATTAAAATTTTAATATATTGATCTTGATGGGATTGATTATTAATAGATAGTATCAAATAATAAAGACAAACTAACAAAAGTATGAAACATTATCTTCTATCTAATTACTTGTCAATTACACCTTATCTTTTTAACAACCAGTGTTAAAGTAATTTATTGTCCTCTCCATATATGGCCATTCAGAGGCTGTAAACTGTAGCTTTCATATAAGTGCAAACTGCTATGGACTATTATTATATAGTATATAATATATATATATAATAGTTTAATTATATAGTATATAGTATAGTATATATATATATAGATTTTGAACTTTTTGATTTCTAATTAAAATATTATTACAAGCTAATTTTAAAATGAATATTTTAATTGTGGGTGAATCACTCAAAATCGATCCAACCAACTGAATGTTCACCCCATACAAGACTCATAAATAAGTAGGCAAATAATCTGCCTTGTATCATGTAGTCTTCTCCTTGTCGCACAAGTGCATGACATCTCTTATTCTTTCTCTTATATATATAAAGGTCTTAGCTCTCATATTAAAGGTCCAACAATTTGTGTTAAATCAAACTAAATAGATTTATTTGATTTTGAGCGGATTTGACTTTATTGTTTTGGCTTAATGAAAACCGAGACGAGCTAAAATTTTTTTGATTTTTTAACTAAAATCGAAACCGAACTAAAAATATGTTAAAAAATAAATCAAACCAAATAGAACCAATTTGATTTGGTCAATTTGGTAGGTTCTATATATATATATATATAGAGAGAGAGAGAGAGATATATAGAAGAGAAGAGAGAGTAGAGAGAGAGAAGAGGAGTAGAGAGAGACGGAGAACGAGAGAGAATTACTACTAAGAGAGAGAGAGAGAGAGAGAGAGAGAGGTTCTAACTAAGCCTCAATGGACTATCCCAAGCGCAAACCAATTTCTAGAACTTGTTCTCAATTTTCCACTCAGCATTTTGAATACTTGCGGAACCCAAACTCAAATAAAATAGACCCAAGTTTGCATGAGCCCAATAAACACTATTTTTTGGTGTTGCTTGATGTTTGTTTGGTTGATGCAACATTTTTTTGGATGATACAACAGAAAATTTTTTGATCACATTTCGTTCATTATTCCTTGTGTTTGAAGCTTCTGTTCTCATTGATTATTTTGCTGATGGCCAAAATATATAATTTAACCTATGAATTTTGATAAAAAAACTTTGTAACACTTAGGAACTTTAAAATCGATCTTGTAACATCCTAAATTTAAATTTTTATAATAATCTCACACCTTCTTACACTAAAAATAATATTTCTTTAAGGTTTTTAGTTTTTATATCCAAAATATTAATATGATATGTCGTTAATACAACTTTTAGAATAATAATTTTTAAAATTTTTTGGATGATACAACAGAAAATTTATTGGATCAAATTTGGTTCATTATTGCTTGTATTTGAAGCTTCTATTCTCAGTATCTATTTTGTTGATGGCAAAAACATAATTTAACCACTGAATTTTGACAAAAAAATCTTGTTTAATTAAGGTTTTTAGCTTTTATTTCCAAAATCTTAAATTGATATGTGATTAATATAACTTTTGAAAAATAATTTTTACATTTTTTTAACTATCCAATAAGTGCTTAATTGATTTAATTTTACAAGTTGAGGTGTTCAATAGGTCGAATAAAATGTTTGATAGTTCCAATTTTATGAGTTAAAATTTTCGATGTGTTAAATTAGAAGCTGAGGGTGTGACAAGATTTTTTTGGGAAAAGTACGTAGACCGGTGAATTTTTGTACTGACACTTTTGTTGATTTTAGCTTCTGTTCATTTCACATCTTTAATCGTAATACGTTATTAATTAGCAGATTTAGCATGTAGTATGTTGATTGGTTGGGTAATTTTCAGGAAGATTACCAGCAGTAATCTTTTCTCATCTCAAAGGAATTTCTACTTGTAACTTTCTTCCTTACTGTTGACTTAAAGCAATATTTGTGGTTGGGTATCAATCATAGTTTAGTGGAATTTTATGCTTCATTGCTGCATCTAAGCAGGTTTCTTCACTTAATATTTCTAAATTAGCTTTGAGTATATGCGGGTGCTTATCAGCTTAGATTTAATGCTCCATTATATTAAGTTTTTTTTGGACCTTTTTGATATTTAATAAAATTATTTTGCTAAAAATATTGTTAGCAATACTTGGAGGAAGCAAAACAATCAAATCAAGTATATATATTTGTTAGCATACTTGAGGAACAAAAACAATGCAAATCAAGTATATATATATATTATAGTTATATATGATATATAAAGCAAGTATTTTTTCGGCAAGAAGTTCAAGCATATTACATTCTAACTGAAGTGCTCTTCCATTGCTTTTTCCACATGATATTTTTTAAATTTTGGTGATTAACACATGAAGGATTATAATGTCCACGGTAGAACTCATAAATTTTGATAGTGCCAATAGAAATTTAATTAATGAATTATAGGTTTATAATACATATGAGTTTAATTATTATTCAATTATGCATAATTAATACATCTTATGTAAATAATATAATTATGTATAATAATTTGTTACCTATCTTTTTCAATTAAAAACATTACATAATAATTGTGATATAATTGTCATTCAGAGATTATAAATGTATTAAATAATATAAAATATTATAATATTATATAATCTCAATTTTTATTTAAAGAATTAATCATAATTTTGATGTTGATTATCATAACCTAATATTACAAGGTTTATGCCTTTATCTTTTAAATTAATATTAGTATAATATTGATATTGAAAATCGCTATAATTAATCATAATTATCATCTATTATTATGAATGAAAATTTTATATTTAAAAGAATGATAGAGAAGGTTAATGGTGAAAATATTTATTAATAGTTTTATTAACAATGAATTTCCAAACATTTCAATATTTATATTTCTTAAAATTGTAATATAGTTGTCATTATTAGTTTTAATGATAATATATTGAATTGCCATTAATTACTTATTATTATACTATAAATAGAGAAAGCTTTATAAGGTTTGGTAAGACCAATTTTTTTTTTTTGTAATTTAAATAATTCTTTTTTGTAATTTAAATTTTGTAATTTAAATAATTCTTATAAAATTTGTTTTTGACATTGATATATTTTTTTGTGTTCTAATTTCTATTATTCTATCAAATTAAGAAAAGTTTAATAAATCACAAGAGAAAGCTATTAACAGATAGCAAAATACAGAGTTTAGACACAAAACGAGGAGCTTTAGAAAACATAGAACCAAGTTAAATGATACGGTAAGGATCATGTTAGTATTTATTATACTAAATTAGTTATTCTAGAAATCCTAGTTGGCAAGTCAGTTAGAGATGAAAAACAACTTGTTCTAGAAGCTGTAACGAAATAAAGCTGTAAAGCTTATATATGTGTAAACAGATTCATTTCTCATTCATTCAATGAAAATATCTTCGCAGAAATTTTTCCAATTTGTTTTCTTCTAAATTTCCCTATTATGAGTATAAGAGCACGTTCGTCCTTCCTCACTTTGATCGCGAAGCCTCTTGAGTGTTTATGTGTTCTCGTGAGTTCTTGATTTCAAGTTCCTTTGATTTTTGTATTTGCTGAAATCATTCTTAATGTTTCTTGTTCCTCAATTTTGAAGTAAAATGGTCAATGATCACCTCCAGAACCCTTCTAATCCATATTTCCTTCATCTTAATGAAAATCCCGCCCTTGTCTTAGTCTCACCTGTTCTTTTTGGTTCTAATTACCTCTCATGGGCCAGAGCCATAAAGATGGCGCTAATTTCAAAGAACAAAATGGTGTTTGTTAATGGTTCAATGCCTCCACCATCACAGACTGATCCAAGGTACTCAACCTAGGAGAGATGTAACACCATGATTCTGTCTTGGATCACAAAGTATATTGTGGATTGATAAGGCATCTGATGTATGGAGTGATTTGCAAGATCGTTTCTCTCAAGGTGATGTATTACGAATCTCAAATCTCCAAGAAGAAAGTTCTAGTTTTAAGCGAGGACAGTTGTCTGTTATTGAATATTTTACTCAATTGAAAATCTTGTGGGATGAGTTGCTCAATTTCAGGCCTATACCTACTTGTTCTTATGCTATGCCTTGTTCTTGTGGTGCAATTGGTGTGTTCAAGACTTTTATGGAGAATGATTGTGTGATTAGGTTTTTGAAGGGCCTGAATGATCAATATGCATTAGCGTTTTGATGGGTCTTCTGAGAGTGCAATCAATAATGCACATGTTTAAATCTGCAAGTAAATGATGCCTAGATGCATGCTGCCCATTCTTGTGAAATAAATTTTCTCATCTAGTTATCAGTAATGATGCTAGATCATCTGCCATCTGTGAATAAATTTTTCTCTCTAGTTATACAACAGGAGAGGCAATTGTTATACACAAGTACTTCTGAGTCAAAGGCTTTATTGAATAAATCTTTTAGGCCAAACACTAGTTTTAATAACTCTTATGGAAAAAAGAATAGGAACCACAATTCTTCTGGCAATAGAATTAGTGGTAATGGATTTCAGATGCCTATTCAAAAGCATACTCTCCTCAGATGAATAGAAATAAGATGAACTCAGGAACTAAGTTTTGCACTTATTGTGGTAAACTAAGGCATACAGTTGAGACTTGTTATAAAAAGCATGGTTACCCTCCTAATTTTCAGTTTAAGAACAATGCAATTCAACCTACTGTTAATTTGTGTGATGCTAGTAATTTTTCTGCAGTAGATTTTCATAATGTTTCAGAAAATTCAAATATGTTCTTTACACCAGACCAAGACATGAAGTTGCTTTCTCTCATTCAAGAACAACCATATTTGACTCATAAAACAACTGACAACATAGCTTATGCTTGCAATAATGTTGTGACTCCTACATAACAAAATGCAGCCATTGAAGTTATGAACTCATCTGTCCTGGACAACACAATAGGTAATTCTATGATTATTCTTAATCAAACAGCAAATCATTCATGGCTTCTAGACACAGGCGCCACTGATCATATCTGCTTCTCTCTTTCATTGTTCACAATATATAGAAAGATTAAGCCAATTACTGTTAAACTACCAGATGGAAGCTTTGTTACTGTTGCTTATTCAGGAAAAATATTTTTCACAGAAGAATTTCAATTGACTGATGTGTTATACATACCAAGTTTCAGGTTTAACTTGATTTCAGTTTGGCATGTAGCTTACATTTTGAAGGCAATACTTGTGTTATCTAGGATTACCTCACATCGAAGAGGATTGGTACAGCTGAAGTTCAAGCTGGTCTCTATATCTTGACTTCTCCAACAATTTCTCATCTGGTGAATTCTATCTGTGCTATTACTGCTTCTACTACTGTAGTACCACATGTCTCATTTCCGATGGAGCTTGTATGGCATTATAGACTTGGGCACTTATCAAACCCAAGGTTACTTGAAATTTTTAAGATTTTCCTTTTGTTCAATGTAATTCAAATACTATGCCTTGTGATTGCTGTCATTTGGCAAAATAAAGGAAACTATCTTTTCCAATAAGTGAGTCCGTCATTAGAGGAAACTATCTTTTCCAATAAGTGAGTCCGTCATTAGTTCTGCTTTTGACTTATTGCAAATGAATTTGGGGGTCACTGTCAGTTCCTTCTTTACACGGACAAAGGTATTACCATTGTTGATGATCACATTAGATTTTTATGGATTTTCTTAATGAAAGCCAAATCATAAGTGAGATCCTTAGTTCAAGCTTTTATACAAAAATATTGAAACACAACTTTTATACAAGTAAGAAAAGATAATGGCATTGAATTTAAATGCATGAGTTTTACAAAATTAAGGAAATTTAACATCAAACTTCTGTGTAGAGACACCTCAACAGAACGACATTGTTGAAAGGAAGCATTAGCACATTCTAAATGTGACTAGATCATTGCTCTTCCAATCCCATTTGCCCAAATCTTTTTGGTGTTATGATGTACTGCACTCAATGTTCTTGATTAATAGAATCCCTACTCCTTAAATTACAGAATGAATCCCCTTACCAAAAACTCTATCATAAATTACAAATGAAATTCCCCTTTACCAAAAACTCTAAATAGCAACTTCCAAGATTTTAGCCAAGAACTAAATTTGTTTGATCTGTCTTGCCTATGCTACAACACTGTCCTCTCCAGACATCTTTATAGTTAGATCCAAGGTCCACTTGTCCTCATCAACAGACAAAACCATGTTCCCGTTTATAATCCCTTTATCTTTCTCCTAACAACATAAATTTTTTCTACAACTTACAAATTTCCACTTATCACCTCTTTATAGTCTAATTTAGCATGATTTTGTTTGAATCTCTTGCCCAAGCATCTACTGTCCCATTCATTCTTTAAACTAATACAGCCTCCTTGTGTCCTTCCATTCGCTCCTCGTCCTTATAACCATTTTATTAATCCTTTATCCCCTACACATAATTTTTCACAACTTACAATTTCCACTTTCACCTCTTACGCTATTGCAGATTTGTTTGATCCTTGCCCAACATCTACTGTCCATTCTTAAACAATACAGCCTCTTGTGTCCTCCAATTCGCTCCCTCTCCTTTACCATCTCGACCCCAAAGAATAAGAAGAGCCCCATAATACCTTAAAGATTACCATTGTAATTTGATCGCAACAGATTCTTCACTAAACAACTCCATTAAACACCCTTTATCTGCAGTAATCTCTTACCAACACACATCCCCTTCTTATTTTCATTTAATATCCAATAGTACTTCTGTTTTTGAAACCAAATCATATTGAGAGGCAGTTAAACATCAAGTTTGGAGGGATGCCATGTCTGCTGAACTAGAAGCATTAAACAAGACTCAAACTTGGACTTTAGTCACACTTCCACTGGAAAAACTCCAATAGGCTACAAGTGGGTGTACAAAGTCAAGCACAAGTCAGATGGGAGCATAGAGAGACATAAAGCTAGGCTAGTGGCTAAAGGTTATACCCAAATTGAAGGACTGGATTATCTTGATACATTCAGTCCTGTAGCAAGGATGACTACCATTAGACTATTACTTGCTTTGGCTGCAATTAAACATTGGCATCTTCATCAATTGGATGTTAACAATCCATTTTTGCATGGATATTTAATAAGGAGGTTTATATGACACGACCTCAAGTCTCACAGTATTACCCAATCAAATTTGTAAACCTCAAAAGAGCCTTTATGGCTTAAAACAAGCAAGCAGGCAGTGGATCTTAAAGCTTTCACAAGTTTTAATCTAGAATGGTTATACTCAATCTCCCTCTGATCATTCTCTTTGTACTCTCCACAAGTTTCATTCATTCACTACCCTGCTCATTTATGTTGATGATGTGATACTAGTAGGAAATGATTTACTCAAAATCCAAAGAGTGAAATAGCTTCTTGATGGTCTTTTTAAAATAAAAGATCTTGGCCCTTTAAGATTCTTTCTTGTCCTTGAGATTGCTCAATCTCCTCAAGGTATAACACTTTGTCAAAGAAAATATGCCTTGGAACTCTTAGCAGAAACTAGTTTTTTGGCATCCAAACCATGCTCCACTCCAATAGATTCCAATGTCAAACTCAGTGCTACTACTGGTACACCATTATTTGATATATCCAGCTACAGAAAGCTTATTGGCAAACTAATCCACCTCACCACAACTAGGCCTGATCTCACTTCTGTTGTAAATCAAGCCAAATTTTATCAGCTTCAACAAGTGCACATCAACTGGCATTACACATAGTACTTCGGTACATAAAGCAAGCTCCTGGTTTGGGATTATTATTTCCATCTTCATCTTCCATACAACTCAAGGCTTTCAGCAATTCTAACGGGGCTAGATGCCTTGACACTAGAAGAATGGTTATAGGATATGGAGTGTATCTTGGTGACTCACTTATTAGCTGGAAATCTAAAAAGCAACAGATTGTGTCTTGATCCTCCTCTGAAGCAGAGTATCGAGCCCTTACTACGACAACGTGTGAGATCCAATGGCTTTCTTACCTATTGAATGATCTGAAGATCGATCATCCCCAACTTTTCACGAACGCACGAAACACATTGAATTAGATTGTCACATTGTTCGTAAAAAAGTCAAATCTGGTCTCATCCATCTCTTACCAATTCTATCTCATGCTCAGTTGGCAGATATCTACACCAAACCTCTCCCCATATCCTACTTTCGGTCTATGATATTCAAACTGGGAATGTATAATATCCATTCTCCAGCTTGTTGGGGGGGTGGGGGTGGGAAGAGGGTATTAACAGATAGCAAGACACAGAGTTTAGACACAAAAATGGAGAGCTTTAGAAAACACAAAACCAAATTAAATGATAGGGTACGGATCATGTTAGTGTGCGTTTATTATTCTCAGTTAGTTAGACTAGAAATCCTAGCTGGAAAGTCAATTAGAGATGAAAAACAACTTGTTCTAGAAGCTATAACGAAATAAAGTTGTAAAGCTTATATACGTGTAAACAGATTCATTTCTCATTCAATGAAAATATCTTCCAGAATTTTCCCAATTTATTTTCTCTGAAATTTCTATTAAAAGTGATTTATATGAAATTATCATTAAGAATGATTTATATACGTCTATGATTGAATTTTTATTATCCATTTTATTTTATTTATTTTATTATTTTTAATATCGTCTAAGAAAATTTATTTTTTATTTATTTTATTATTTTTAAATACTCGTCTTAAAGAAAATTTATTATTAATTTAAAAAATAAAATCTAAATTAAATAATTTTTAATATATTATCTTCCTTTTCTTTCAAATTTTTATTATAGAATTAATTTTTAATATAATTAGTTTAAATGTTTTGAATTTGAAATAGGAATGTGTTTTTTTTAATTTAAACAAGTTTCCAAAAATTAACAGAATATGAAAAATTAAAAAAATAATTTAATATTTTAAAAATTTTCTTAATTAAAATTAATAATATTTTAAAATAATTATCAAATAAATCTTTAAGAATTATAGAATAAAAATATTTAAGTGTGGGCATAACTAGTTATAATACTAACTTTACATGCAAATTATATTCCCTAAAGATAGAAAAAAGAAATAGTTACTCTTTTGGATGCACTCACTGTTCTAAAAAAAGATAAGGTATAATAAAAGATGGAAACTTATCATTATTTCGTTGACATAGATTCATTTTTAACACACTCCACATACAAGTTTTTATTTTGTGTTACAAGTTCGCAAAAAGTAAAGTAAATACCAACAAAAGTATCAATATCTTCTATAAACTAATCGCCCTACCTGGATTATCTGGCATGACAACTAAAACTATTACAGATCTAAAAATTTTGAAGGAATAAGAATATAAGAAATTAAGAATGTATGGAATTGGGAATCGAGTTCGGTTTTCTTCCCAACTTTTTTCTTCTAGTAACTGCTCCTCCAAAGCATCGAGGTACATTAGTCAGATTACTCTGCAGTTTATTTTCATTAGAAAGTTTCCAGTCAAAATGAAAAGAGCAAATTTGCAAAAGGAATTTCAATTGCCATATACTTTAAGACGGAGAGACTAGCAAAAATGGCAGCATTCCGGAGGGCATAGCTCTTTTTTCCTTGCAACCTGGGTACTTTGTAACCCGGCTTCACCAAAATAACTCGATTGAACTACTCAAATAAATCTCTCCGGATTGAAATTTCCTCCGCAGGTTCACGCATCACAAAAACTGTAGGATTCCTCTTTCCAAGTTGCCCAATACATTGACCAGACTGCGAGTATCCAGGATAAACATCGTTATCCACTAACTTTAGTCGCTTTTCCCCCTAACACAACCCTTGGAATAACTGAAGAGTAACATTGGATGTAGTCTTCATTGTTTCTTTAAATAATTAAACTTCAAACAACCAATTTAAATTCCTGAATTTTTTGCTTCCCCTCAATGCTAACATGCCTTTTTTCATAAACTCAAAGACACGTTCTCTTCCGCAAATTCTTTCTTGTGCTTTTTTTCATTATTTCCGGTCTTTCCGATCTCATCAACCTCTGCTGCCATTGTTTGCCGCATCTTGTTTGCTGCCCTGTAAGTTGTTTAGAGGAAATGGCTGTCACTTGACTACTGTCCACCGATAAAAACGATCCTGCAAGCATATTTGATAAAAATTTTTAATTTGTGAAGTTTAAAAAGTCATATCGAAAAGGTAAATAAAATCCACGGTTAGAACGCGTGTGGTGTGTTTTGTTCGCGTAGTAGAGAAAAACTTGAAAATCAAGAAACCACAGGTCAGGGGCGCTTCAGCACGATGAGCAGATCGAGTCCATAGCGATCTACCGTCTCGTCTACATAGACCGAATACTCGCAAGTGCAGCAATCTATACGAGGTCTATATGATAGGCGTTCCAGTCAAAATGAAAGAGCAAATTTGCAAGGAAATTTTCCATATGAACCATACCTAACGCAATTCCAGGGCATACTCTTTTTCCTGCACCAAATGGAAGATATTCAAAATGATTACCCAAATAATCGATTGAACTATCAATAAATCTCTCCGGATTGAATTTCTCAGGTTCACTCCAAACTGTAGGATCTCTTCCAAGTGCCCATACATTGACCAGAACTCGAGTATCAGGATAAACATCGTATCCACTAACTTTAGTCTTTTCCCTACAAACCCTTGGAAGTACTGAAAGTACAGGATGTAGTCTCATTGTTTCTTTAATAATTAACTTCAACCATTTTAATTCCTGAAGTTTTGCTTCCTCAATGTAACCTTTTTCACCAAAGACACTCCGCAATTCTTCTTGTGCTTTTTTCATTATTTCCGGTTTCCTCATCAACTCTGCCATTGCCCATTCTGTAGTTTTTGAGGATGTGTCACTTCCACCGATAAAAACATCCTGCAATTGATAAAAATTTTTAATTTGTGAGTTTTAAAGTCATATCGAAAGGTATAAAATCACCGGTAGAAACTTGAAATCTCAAAAAGAGCCTAATTAAAGTCTCAAAAAGAGGAGTATATTACCATGATTGCTGCTTTGATGTTGACATCAGTTAAGGGAAGATCAAGATCTTCACTTTCTTGAAGATCGAGAAGAACATCAAGAAAATTATCAGCTTTCCTCTGATTGCCATTCTTGGAAACCGCTGTATGCCTTTTAGCTTTATGCTCTTGTAAGATATCTTCAAGGATCTCGTCTGTCTCACGATGCAATTTCATAATTCTAGACTTTTCCCTTTTGACTGAAGGAAGCCATTTTAAGGAAGGGAAGACATCAGCTATATTAACACCTCCCGTAATAATTATACCATCAATACATCTTAACAACGTTTCTTGATTTTTGCTTTTATGACCAACAGCGTTTCTTGCAATTATAGAATTTGTAAAAGAAAATATAGTATGAGTAAGATTAACAGAACTTCCTTCTTTTGAACGCAGAAATTTTACAAAATCTGCCATTTCTTCTTCTCTTACTGATTGAAACGACCGTACTCGTTTTACGCTAAGTAACTCCAACGTGCAGAATTTTCTCATTTGCCTCCAGTGATCTCCGTATGACCCAAAAACCATGCCGTTACGGTTATAGTTCACTATTTCATTTACAAGGATAGTCGCTCGTTCGGCGAAAATGGGATCTAGGCTTTTCATTACTTCTTTGGCTGCTTCCCTTGAAGAAACCACAAGAAAGGGAATTTGACCCAGTTTAATACCCATTACCGGTCCATAGGTTTTGGCCAACTCTGCTAACCGGTGATGAGGGAGGTCACCGGCGAGCTGGAGAATGTTACCTAAGATAGGTAATCTCCATGGTCCGGGTGGAGGGTTTGAATCATGTTTGTATAATTTCTTGGATAACTTTAATAAGACAAGAAAAATAAGGAAACTCAAAAGAACTGGAAATGAGAGGACTTGGTGTTCCATGATGAGAAAGAGCTGATGGTGAGTGGTTCAAACATAACTGCATATTTATAAGGATAGAGCTAGTATTATATTTGTCTATATATATATATATTATTTTTTATCATATAGAATGAGTCATGCATGATGACTATATTTATATATTTGACCATATGCAAATGTTAATTTTTTGTACTCAATAATTGTTTTTTTTATAATATATCAAATTTTATTTCTGGGATAATTCAATTCTTTAATCAAAGTTTGTTCTTCTTTTTAAAAGTATATGTTTGAATTAATGAATTTAAAATTAGAGGTTCGTGGAAATGCTCGTTTGATTTGTGGGACTTGGGCCGTCTTTGAATGGCAATTTCTCCATTTATGTATATCACTTTCAATATATATACCCAAAAAGAGAGAGAAAAAACAAGAATTCACAATACAAAAGGCCGTCTTTGAACAGTCATTTTCAATTGAGAAAACATAATAGGGAAACTCATTCCAAATTCTACAATGTTATTAAAAGGCTAAATCATTAAAAAAAAATCCCAAATTTTGTTGCTAATTTTAATTGTATCTTAAATCCAATTTTTTTCTCCTAGTACCCTAAATTTCAACTTTAGTTACAACAACACCCTAATTTCAAATTCTACCCAATTTAATGAATAAAAATTGTTATTTTTATAATAAATATTTATGTTTATTTATATAAATATTAAAATAAAAATATATTCATCTTAAAAATAAAATACTTCTTATTTATTTATTTATTTATATAACATTGACAACAAGTAATGATTTTCTAAAATAAAATGACACTGTAATGAATAAAAAATATTTTTATAAGAAATCTAACTTAAGTATAATTTTAATAAACCCTAACTAAAATTTCATGCTTAAAAAATACAAAACAAGAACCTAAACTAATATTCTATACTTATAACTAACTAAAATTTATTATTTTACTTGATTGTTTATGAATTTAAATTCCTAATTATTAGTTAGAATATTATTAAACAGTAAGTTTTTAGTTAATCTGACCATGAGGTAGAGTATATGTCCAACGAAAATAATATTTTTATTCATTAAATTGGGTAAAATTTGAAATTAGGGTGTTATTGTAACTACTTTGAAGTTCAGGATACGAAAAGAAGAAAATCGAATTTATGATACAATTAAAACTATTCACAAAGTTCGGTGTTTTTTTGAATGATTTAGCGGTTATTAAAATATATACCAAGGGAGAGAAAGGGAGAAGACATATCAAATTATTAGAATAATAAATTTTACACAATTTGATGTAAATCTCCTTTTGAGTAGCTGTTAGCTGTTTGAATAACTTTTCATAAAATGTTAAAATCTAAACGTTACGTGACTTCACTTAACTTTTTAATTTTTTTATAAAATATTACCTTAACTTTTAAAAGTTAATTTAAATGTTATTTTACCGAACAATATAAAAACAGTGTTAACTTTTTATAAACGTTATCTTAACATCTAAAAACGAGTTCAAACGCTATATACCGAACAATATAAAAAACAGTATTTAGTCAAAACACTAAATTTTTTATAAAAGATTACCCTAACTTCTAAAAGCTAGTTCAAATGACATGTTATCAAACACTATAAAAACAGTGTTAACTTTTTATAAAAAGCTACCTTAATCTTTAAAAACGAGTTCAAACGCCATGTTACCGAACATTATAAAAAACAGTATTTAGTTAAAACACTAAAACCAACTTTAAAAGCTATTGCCAAATACAGCCATAATCTCTATTTGATTTATCGAAAATATTTAAAAACTTGAAAAATATTTTTTTCAATAAATTCATTATCTTTTGCTTGATTAGAATATTGAAACTTTTACTTTATAAAATTGTAAAAGTTTATTTTTTTAAATATGCTAAAAAAACATATAAAGCTAGTATGTAATTTTAATGCCTTTTATGAGTATGAGTAAACTTGAGTATAATTTTTTTTTTCAGAGTCAAAATTTTGGACCACATGAGCAATATATTTTTGTCATTTTTCAATTCAAATTTACTGTTGATAATATATAATAATGCTGAATTAGACCAAGTCCATAGTAATCCATAGTAATTCGCAGTTTGACTAGTATTGAGGAAAAACATGATATATTTTATTATTAATAACATTATATATTTCATTATTAATTAATTATTAGTAAGATCAAAACTACAATATTGATATATTTCCAAATTGGCGTCTTTAAGACTAGTCGTAAAGTAAACGTAAGCATTGTAAAAATTTACTAAAACACAAATAAATAATAGATTCCTATTGTGAATTTGACGTGAGATTATATATATATATATACACACATATATATATATATATAAGTAGATAAATTATTTTAAATGACAGCCAAGTGTATAAGATAGGATAAGTGCTGTGATATTAGACTATGTATAGTAATCCATAGGTAATGTTATGTGTGTCGCAGTTTGGACTAGTATTGAGAGTTTGAAAATACATGATATAGTTTTAATTTTATAATAAACAAACATGTATTAATTATATTCATTGTAAGGTTGGATGTTGAAGTTATTAGATAGAGAATACAAAAACTAACAAGATAAATTGATATAGTTTTCCAATTTGGGCGTGGATCTTTAAGACTAGTCGTAAAGTAAATGCGTAAGCAATTGTAAAATTTTACTTAAAACACATCAATTCAAATAAAGTAATAAGAATTCCTATTGTGAATTTGACGTGAGTTGATTATATATAATATATATACCATACACGTATATTAGATATATATTAATGGTATGAGTAAATTATTGTTGAAAATTACAGCCCAAGTTGGTAAGTTCTTTTGTAAATTGTTGTGTTAAGTAGGTACAGAAAGATAATTATTAATGTAATTATCAATAAGAAATCAAAACTGCTAAAGACTATATTGAATATTGATATTTATTTCCGTCAACAAAATTGGCGTTTTAAAGACTATAGTGGTAGAAAGTAAATGCCAAGCACTACAACCCTAGTAAAATTCTAGTAAAAGATAAATAATAATAGATACTATATGTGAATTTTGAAATCGTGAGATAATATTATATATAATTTACGATTTTAAATATATATATAATATATCATATATATATATTATATAAATTAGTAAATAAACTTATTTTAAATGACAGTGTTAGTATAATTGCTTAAATAAGTACTGATGATGGAGCCAAGTGTAGTGTCTCCCCTTTCAATTGCTAAGTGTATAGGAAAACAAGTTATTTTTAGCACAATGTTGTAAGCGGATATGTTATTTATATTTTTCAATATAATGCCATATAGGGAAGAGAAGAAAAAAGAAAAGAAAACTAAACTAATATTGTAATAAGCAAGCTATTTTATTGTGAATAATAAGGGATGAATATAACGGAAAGATAATTCCTGATAATTTTCTTCTTCAAATTAGAAAGAAAATAAAAAAAATATAAAAATAACATTTAATAGAGAAAAATTAATTTTATTTCTTTTATAAGAACTGATATAACGCAAGAAAAACCGCTTAATCCGAAAAAAAAAAAAAAAAAAAAAACAAAAAAAAAAAAAGGCAACGTAACTTTTTTTTCGCAAAAAAAAAAAAAAAAATCTAGGCATATGTTCTCTTAATTTTATTTTAAATTTAAGTTTTCCGAGAAAATGTTAGTATCACAAATTGGCCATCTTCAAATTAGAAAGAAAATAAAAAAATATAAAAATAAATTTATAGAGAAAAATTAATTTTATTTCTTTTATATCCGAAAAAAAAGCAACGTAACTTTTTTTCCAAAAAAAAAAAATCTAGTTCTTCTTAATTTTTTTAAATTTAGTTTCGAAAAATGTTAGTATCAACAAATTGGCCAGATCTAATTTTTTTTGTTTCCTGTTCATGAATTTTTTTAGTCGAATAAACTCTTCATCCTATTTAAAGTTACACTTTCACAAAAGTTGATCACCGAAAGAATTAGCTTCTAATCCTAACTCTTTACTCTCCATTATCCTTCCTCTACATGTTTTTCCACTTTCACTCATATTCTTATATCTTCAAATCCCAACACTTTCCACATAATATCTATATAATAATATATATATAAGGAGAGTAGTTTGTCTTATATGGATGCAAAGTCTGAGTAACGTAATTTGCCACTTGGTAGTAATTTGAATTATAGAATGATAAATATTAGAATTATAAATTCTAAATTAAGTTGTTGGATGGATTTTTTTTTAAAAAAAAATTAAGTTTATTGATAACTAAACTGATCAATATGCAGGCTAGAGCTAACTCCTCCCATTTCAAAGATAAATTATATTAATAATATTAATGTTTAAATATTAATATTATCAGTCCACATATATAAGTATTTTATTTTACTAAAGGTTAGTTTTTTTTATCTATGTATATAGAAATATCAAAGATTATGACATAGATAACTTCTTTGGATGGTTTTATATTTGATAGATGTCATGGAGTCAGAATGTTATTGCAGTTGATGATTCTATATATGTTGTATTTGCAATAAAGAATGCAAATTTCTTTTGATGAAGTTGTTTGCAATATAATTCTTATTCCAGATGACATTTTAAAATTATAGTACAAAGCAAAAAAGGAAGATAAGTTATTTTAGAATTTTGCTTTGATGATTTTCTTGACATACATTTATTATATTTTATTTCTTCATAGTTGTTTTGTAGATGACCAAAAATATGTAAAGAGACAGCTAAAAAACGTATTTTATGTACAAAAATTTTATTCATCATATTTTGATTAATGTATTATGTTGTTCTTCAGAATATATTTTAGTGGATCTCTTAATTATATTAAGATTTTATTAACTCTAGAAGATTCTAAGAAAAATTATGATGTTGTCAATGTCCTTAAGGATAATGCCAATTTTTATATTACTGTATTAAATAAGTAGTAATTAAATAATTGTTTTTAAATTATACAATAATTGTTTTCAATTTTTATGATAACATGATATGTTTTATTATTAATTATCACACTGTTTCAAACATAGTGGGCTTGCTAGTTGCCACCTTGACTTCT